TGTGTCAGCCTTGTGTGATCGATTCTTAGTCGGGCTAGAAGGACCTCCTCCTTTTGGTTTAGGGCACATTTCCAATGTTCTATTTCAGGTTTTATATTTCATAATTTATTGGTTAACTGTGCATCCTAAAGCTTCTGCCATTTCATCAGAATTTTCCTCCTAATCAGAATGTTAACATCGGAATAGGGGACGGGTCGGCTGGATGTCCCACAGACGTATTTTGCAGCGATATCTGCCAGTTTGTATCCTTTTATACCAACATGACTTGGTACCCAGCAATAAAGGATCTGGTAAACTTTGGCCTTGAGGCTAATACTGAGTTTCAACACTACGATTAATGGATTTGCGTTATTGGCATATGATTCAAGAGCTTTTAACAGAGTTTAGATAATGAAATTTTTCCTATGTTGTTTGCTTATCAAAGATAGAGCTAATAGCAAAGCAATGATCTCCGCAGTAAAGTCTGTACAAGCAAGATGAAGTTTTATTCCCTCAATAGTATTCTCGCACACGAAAGCTGAATTGGCATGATCCTGGGACTTAAAGATACATCTGTATACACTGCACCATAGTCATTGAAAGCCTGCCTAGGTTCATAGAAAATGTGCTCGTACATGTCATCACTGGTGTTATTTTTAGCTAAGTTGGAAAGTGTGTTGAGAAGCTCAATGTGAGCATCTTTCCAAGGAGGTATTTCCAAATAATGGATACTAAGTAAACCTTCATTTACACACCAGTCAATTAATGCTTGTTTCCCTTTCGTTCCAAATCTTACAGAAACTTCAAATTAATCTTACCACATTCAGCCAATTTACCGTGGAAACCACAAAATAACAACGTACTAATCCATCACACATACTTTCCAAATTTTTTCCCATGATTCAAATTCACTGCAACCAATTATGTCATAATAGGGTTCCCATAGCATTCAACTACTCAGATTGTCAAAAATGAGACAATAACTTGGCGATAAATGAAACAATTTCACGATAATACAAGAGGTACCCTAAAGTCAACTCTAACCCTCCAACTTTATTTTCAGCATCATCTATTCTGCCCTCCATATCCTCAAATTTGTTTTTTATTATGCAGGTAATTTTTCTCTTCATTTTCTCTTGACCTGTTTTCAATTCTTCTTTAGCAACCTTTATTTCTTCTTTAACAGAATCTTGACCAGCTGGCCTCTTTTCTTGAACTGCTTTCACAACCTCTAACAGATTCTTGGCATGCTTTCATCTCTTCTTTAAATGTAGCAAAGGCTGCCACCAGCTGTCTTAACTGCTCTTTAATTATTCTTGTCACTGGCATTCATACCTACTTCCGACATCAAAAAGTGTTACATCTGCACAGGTTCATAATAGATTGAATCCACAAGTCTGATAAAAGGTTAATAGAATTTATTCTTATAAAAAGAAATATTACAGAATGCTGGAATTTTCCTCAGAGATATTGGTAGAAATGTTCAAAATATTATGCAATATAATCAGTAATTATACTTTAAACTACTAAAAACATTAAAATACAACACAGTGCAAAGCGTTATCTAAAGAGAAAGCTAACTCCGATTCATCTCAGTTCACGCAGAACTACAACTCACAATAACAGTAACTCAGCAACTCAAGTGAATAATCACTGCTAATCCTCAAAGTAATCACCATCAACATCCAGTTCTTTTTGCTAATGAGTGGCTAGTTGTGCAATGCAATCGCAGTAAAACTCAGGAGTCTTGGACGCAAAGAAATCTGCGAGGCCTTTTCGAGGTCTGGATGGTTGTTGAAGGATTTTCCACAAATACTGTTGTCCCAGGAATGGAAAAGGTGGTAGTCTGTTGGCGCGAGGTTCGGGGAGTATGGTAGATGGGGTATTGTCTCCCAGACCAGTCATTGAATGGTGTCCCTGGCCTCCTGAGCCACATGCTGCTTCGCATTGTCATGGAGGAGGAGACTTACGGCTGACCAATGCTGGCTTTTTATACATCAGTGCCTGATGCACACGTTCCAACTGCTGAGAGTACAGGCCTGCCGTGAAGGTTTGACCCACTGGCAGGAGCTCATAGTGCACCAGATATAGAGCATGATCTTGTACGAGTGGATTTTGGTGCCAAAAATTGCCACTACGCAGGCCAAAATAACAAGTCAATTAATTGCACAAATTCGGTATCCTTGTACCGCCAAAAATCACAAAGTTTCACCAAGGGGGACCCTAAAATATACTTTTACCTGATATGCATAGTCTAAGTCATGCTTTCAACTCATCAAAACTGCAAGATGAATTTCAACATCTTGAATGAAAGAGATACAAGTGTTGCTTTTTTTTTGGGGGGGGGGCTTTGTGTACATCTAGCTTATCATAGCATCAGACTGACTGAGAAAGAGATGCATATCTGCATATGATCATGAATTAGAAGATGTGGTACAAACGGAAATTAGATGCTTTGAAGGCTCAAGATGGAGAACATTAGTTATGGCATATATTAGCCATCTCCCTAAGAGAATTCTATAAAAGTTTGCAGATACTTTTAAAGGAAAAGTAGTTTACTTTTACACAGCATGAAAAAAGCATAATATTTGGTACTCTTCTGTCATCAGGAATGGATTCAGAATGTATGCGTGTATATGTGTGTGTGTATGCATGTATGTGTGTATGTGTGTATATGTGTATATATATGTGTGTATGCATGTATATGTGCATACGTATAAACATCCATACATATGCATGTACATATAGATATATATGCATACATGAACACATAGCTCCATATATACAAGCATATATGCATACATTTCGGAATCTGATCTTGATAACAGAAAAGTACCAAATATTCATGCAAACATCCCAATTTATAACACCACAATTCATATTCATCATAAATTCATACTCTTTCTTCAAAAATTGAATTTAAGATGTTACTATGAGCATTCTGTAGTTTTTTCTCCCCCTCCCACAAAAAAAAAAATAAGACTTTGGTTAGTGAAATAGATGAATACAATTTTATTAACAAAAAGCTGAACTGCCCCCAAAACATAATGGCATGAAAAAAGCATGAAACACAGCATGAAAAAAGCATTTTAGCAAAAAAAAAAAATAAGACTTTGGTTAGTGAAATAGATGAATACAATTTTATTAACAAAAAGCTGAACTGCCCCCAAAACATAATGGCATGAAAAAAGCAAATTACACAGCATGAAAAAAGCATAATATTTGGTACTCTTCTGTCATCAGGAGTGGATTCAGAATGTATGCGTGTATATGTGTGTATGTATGCATGTATGTGTGTATGTGTGTGTATATGTGTGTATGTATGCATGTATGTATGCATGTATGTATACATGTATGTGTGTATGTATGTGTGTATGCATATGTGTATGTATATGTGTGTATGCATGTATATGTGCATACGTATAAACATCCATACATATGCATGTACATATAGATATATATGCATACATGAACACATAGCTCCATATATACAAGCATATATGCATACATTTCGGAATCTGATCTTGATAACAGAAAAGTACCAAATATTCATGCAAACATCCCAATTTATAACACCACAATTCATATTCATCATAAATTCATACTCTTTCTTCAAAAATTGAATTTAAGATGTTACTATGAGCATTCTGTAGTTTTTTCTCCCCCTCCCACAAAAAAAAAAATAAGACTTTGGTTAGTGAAATAGATGAATACAATTTTATTAACAAAAAGCTGAACTGCCCCCAAAACATAATGGAAAATGTCTGGTAGAAAGGTTAATATCCGAGATTAAATATGTTCTTCATCCAAGAATGTCAGGCTAGCTGTCGCCCCATCTGTGTAAATTAATTACAAAGTTTTAAGAAAGTTTATGTGAACCTTTTTATGAAATTCGTCAACTTCAGAACTGCACAGCTTATGTGAACAACTTAAAACTCTGCCAATTGCAGATATTAGATAACGGAAAGTTGAATTCACAAATTAAATTTTTTTGTAACAAGATAACTACAAAATTATATAGATTTATATAAAGTATTGGTTACTTTAACTCGCACAAAAAATAACATTTTGGTCACTGGATAATTATATGAGTAGAAAACTCAGACTAGTAAAACGCTGCTAAAGTATTGCATACTTAATGAGGTTTTCCTCCAAATTTTGGACACAATATTCAGATATTTTATACTATACAACAAATCTTGGCTAATCTTTGGAATATGGTAACAGGTAGTTTGGCGACATTTTGGTAAGGCGACAAAGGTTACTAGCTAGGACTTTAGCAGTGTACATGAATAAAGTCAAGAGTGTGCACAATGCCATTTTTGTGCAATTCTGGGATGTTTTTTTAAGTGAAAATAAGTCGACGTGTACATGGATGATACCGCATATGTGCAATTCTTAAAAACACAGCAAGCAGTGGGCAAATCTGCACTTTCTCCCAATTTCGCACCTAATCTTCGTCATGATTAAGCATTTTTGTTGCCGTAATTCGACTAGCAGATTGTTGGAAAAAATTTTGTGTAAAAAAAAAAAAAAAAAAATGCCTTTACTTCCTAAAAACAAAATGCCATCCAAAACAAAACTAGCAGGTTGCTGTAGCAGGGTTGGTCACCAAATTTTCGCCAAGTTACCATAATCCAAAGATTAACCCAAATCTCAAAAATTCAAAAATATATTATTAGATTAGAAATCAACTAGGGAATCCAATCGTTGCGAATTAAAAATACACATAACCACAATTTCTGCATTTCATAACTTCGCTAAATTTATATGCTCATTATGCTTTTTATAAAAGAATAAAAAATCAAATTGCATTACCTTATTTTATGTTGAAAATAATATAGATTAACATGTAATGCAAAACAATCTAAGTTAAACGTGCATATTAACGAATAAAATATAAATAAAACGTTATTTTAAATAACTGCTTTTTATGATGATAATAATAGAGATTAACATGTAAAGTAAAACAATCCAAGTTAAACATGCATTATTAACAAATAAAATATGATTTTAAATACCTGGCACCCATTTGTAAATCTTCATTGTGGTGTCACCAATAGTTACCCATTTCTTCTCCCTAAAAATAATATGTTAAAAATTAGATCTTCCAAAAAATGAAAGCGAAATAATTAAAATATTCAGAAAGTCCATGATCACATTTGATTTCAAAAAACAGTGTAAATAAAGCCATCTACGACCAAACGTCAGACAATTAATTTAAATTATGGGCTAAACTATATAATTTAATTTTCATCTTAACGCATAATCCCAATATAAGAATATTCAGACATAAACAAACCCAAGTTCGTTTAAAAGGCTTCATACCATTTTCTGACTTTGTCAATGGCTTGCATAACACGCTTAATATCATCTTTTGCTCTACTCCGTGTTTCTGCACGAATCGATCTGGACATCATATTGAGAATTTTTTAAAATAAGATGGACCAATACCCACAGGTAACTTAGAGACTTAAAGTTAAGCGCCGGACAGTTTAATCACCAGCAAGAAAGTCAACAATAAAAAAAGGAAGTGTAGTTGAAGTTACAGTATGTAAGAAAAACAAGAATAAAAAAAAAAAGAGAAAAAATTAATATATTGTGGATTCACAACAGATAGCATATTTTTTCTCCTAGTCCTGATGATATCTTGACGTCATAGCAATACTGCTGTCATAATACATTCTGTTAATTCCTTAACATTGAAAATTTCTCTTTCTATCTCTGATGGCCTCAGTTTGAGAGAAAAATCTTTTAATTCCTATTCATAATTTATTGATTTTTATAATGTAAAATAAATAATTACCTTCAGCACTTCCTCTAGTCGTCAATAGCATAAACATGCAAAATTTTAAACTATTCTACAAAAATCAAACGTAAAAAAAAAAACTTAATTAGCTTCTAGCAGCAAAAACTAGCATTTCGGATAACATAACTATTATTACCACCTGTAGGTTGCTGTAAAATAAGATCAGTATCATTTCTTCTAAATCCAGTTCAACTTCCTAAATATAACAATATGCATATCTTCTCTTTCAACAAAGTCTTTGATGCTTCTGAGTCTAAAAACTAGATTACTGACCCTTTTCTAAAAATTTTTTTTAATCGTATTTACGTCATTTACACACACACACAGATCGTATTTCATTCTCGAGTGTCAAGATGTAGAAATATCTTTTTACTCGACTTCTGATAAGGATCGGGTAGGAGGAGAAAGAGTAGGGTGGAAGGAAGTGTGGGACGCCGAAAAAAAAAAAAAACAAAAAAAAAAAGAGTGAGGTCCGCACTAGCGGCGGCGAAAAAAAAGAAGGGTGGCAAGTTCAGTGTTGTTATAAGATGTAGTCACGGGTGATAAACCGCAGAATCAGTTTAGCATGAATGAGTCAATTAAGGTTGTAATTCTTATGTGGGTATGATGTCACATGGGTACCGATGTTTTTCTCTGGGGATGATGCGGGGAGTGTCTGAGAGTGCTAATAAGCCTTATTACTGTGGGTTTGTACTGAGTGAAAAGAAACTTGGACCGCTAATCGTTTAATATACTCTTGAATAAGGTTCGATTCGAAGGTCTTCTGTGAATATAGAGTGTTTGGAATATACCAAGGAGCATTGATAATTTCTCGTAGAATTTTATTTTGTAGAACTGGTAATTGTTTAATATTGGTTTTAGCTGCATGTCCCCAAATCGGTGCTGTATAAAAAAAGGCTGGGCGAAGAATGGAGCGATATAGCATTAATTTGTTTGTAGTAGATAAGTTGCTTTTTCTACCAAGAAGAGATCGCATAGTAGCTGTGGTGATTTTAAATTTTTGTACTACGGACCGGAAGTGGGTTCTGAAGGTAAGTTTTTGGTGAAGGGTGACTCCGAGGTATTTGGTTTCATTAATCCAGTCTATTTATTCGTCAAATATTTCAGGGGGTGGAGGATAGTATTTCATGTTTTCTTTACGGAAAATTATTGCCTTAGTTTTATCAGTGTTGCTTTTAATTCTCCAAAGGGTGAGCCACTTTTCGAGTTTTATGAGATAGTTTTGGAGTTGGTTTCTTACGGTGATAACTGTGCAGGCTTTAGTAAGTATGGCGGTGTCATCGGCAAAGAGTGCAAGATGAACAGAAGGGTCTTTAGGGATTTAGGGATATCTTGTGTATAAATATTAAAAAGGTACGGCGAATGTGCCGACCCCTGTGGGGCACCAGCATTGATTACTCTGGTGGTAGAGTAAGCAGTACCAATTTTGATTCTGAATGTTCTGTTGCTGAGAAAAGAGGCTATTAAGCGAATAAAATGATCTGGAAAATTGAGAGTGATTAGTTTGTAAATATGGCCTCGAAGCCATACCCTGTCAAAAGCTTTCGTTTACGTCATTTATGACGCGGTCGTGATAGTTGTAAGTCCACAGGACATTTAGCCGGCACAGACACTTAGCAGACAAGAGATTTAACAGACACCGATATTTCCCCGACGAGAACATTTAAACGACAGAACATTTGAAGAATGTTAGAATCTATTCCAATGGTTCTCAAAGGGGCGGTGCCGCCCCCAGGGAGCAGTGCAAGCATGAAGGAGGATGAACCTGTTTTGGGTGGCAGGAGGACGGCGAGCATGTTTTGGGTAGTAGGGGTGATGAGCATGTTTGGGCATTCGAACTTAATTTAAAAACGCCCAAAAAATTTATTAAATCGATTATCCGATTTACACCATTTGTACCAGCAATAAAACGAACTTGCACGATGACTCCCCTCATGCACTTCTAAGAATGATGAGACGAATCTGCAAAAAATTCATCCTGACAAACAAAATTAAGATTTGTCGTTTTTCCAGAACATCAGAGCCAAGTTCCTGAAGGCACCGTCTGTCTCAGGGTTACTAGCAACCTCATCAAAAAAAAATGCGACGATGGTTTCATAGCATCTTATAACATATCAAAATTAATTGTTAAATCGGGGAAAGCTCATACCATGGGCAAAGAGTGGATACAAAAAAGAGTAATCGACTCGAATTCCTGGAAACTTGCGCCTTCAACTTTCTAAAAGTATTGAACTGAATGCTCAGAAACTGGCTCTGAACCATCAAGCACAAACATCCCACTTTTCATACTTGATTTTTTTTCATTGATATTACTCGTTTAGTGTACTTTTTGTTGTTCTTTTTTTAATTATTTAATTAAGAATAAAGAATTTTTAAACGTAAGACATCGCTTAAGCAATTTTTTCTGGCATTTGTTACTTCAGTTTTAACAAAAGGTATGTAATTACCTTCAAGGCAAAACTATCGCGTTAAATCAGAAAATTTGCTCTTTAAGTCTACTGAAAAGAATTACTTAGAATTTTGTCTTTTAAGGAACGCCCCTTTCCTATACCTAAATTATAGGATTTTCACAAAGGGGCCATTGAAATTTTTTTCGCTCCTTAGGGGCGGCAGCTTGGAAAAGGTTAAGAATCACTGATCTATTCTAGACTCCTTGGGACATTTAGACGGCAAAACATTTAGCCGACAGCTCGTTTAACCGTCCACATATTCAGCAGATAGCACGTTTAGCTACGTTTAGAGGAAAACATGCAACAATAGTTTTCTAAAATTTCTCCATATTTATCCGACAAAAGACTATTTTCAGCGTACGCAACGAGAAAGCGTATTAGATGAGTACTACATTTTTGTCTTTACACATTGCTATACAGAACATAGATTTTGAAATTAAACATGAAAGCAATCTTAAGTTGGCGTAAATTTTGAAATAAATTTATGGAGCGATCAAATACAGGTCATTTGCTCTCAGAAGTGAAAAACAAAATTCAATAGTGAGAGCTGCTAAACGATTTTATATGGAAAGCAATGGTTGAAGCAAAGCGAAAACCAATGTAGTGTGATCTGTGGAGCAAAATATTAATGAAATTCGAAAAAGCTAAGATATTAAAATTTTGAAAGTGTTGGGAAGAGTTAGATTGGAAAATTAATGTCATTAATTAAAGAAAAAATTTTGTTAGTGTGAAATTGTTAAAAGAAATTTTTATTAACTAAGATTTAGGGGAAAATGTTTTCAGATCCAAAATCAAAATTGTGATTAAATGTCTAATTGTGATCAAAAATTTATTTGTTTCTTCTTTCAAAAGTTATGATGCGTGCTCAGTGGCGAGAAATTTCAACGCTCTTTCCGTCTGGCCGACATATGTCAAACTCCACTGACATGATATTCTAAAATTATGCAAGAATTAAAAATCAGACACTGGATCTTTCAAGATTGAAAAGCGAGTTTTATTGACAGGCAGTAGCGTAGCTAGCGTGGGGTAATGTGTCTCGGGTAATGTGTACATGTGTCTCGGGTAATGTGTACATGTGTGGGGTAATGTGTACATGTGTCTCGGAGCCAGAGAACCAAATTGATATTATGAAATTTTAGAATGAAATATTTTCCATTCTTGGCACACAGAAGGAAGCACAAAATCTTCAGTTGTCTCCGGGTGCTGAGAACCGTAGCTACGACTCTGCTGACAGGTCAGAAAGAAACCTAAATTTATTATTTACTGTAGCATGTTTTCCTTATGCGCTACCTGCTAAGCGTATTGTAGTCTAAAAATCCTGTCGGTTAAATATCCGTGTCGATTAAATGCGTTGTTGTCTAAATGCTCTGTCGGTTAAAGGTCCGTCTCGGCTAAATGTCCTGTCGGCTTAGTGTCTTGTCGTCTAAATGGTTGTTGTGAAAGTCTCACAGACCCATTCTCGCACAACAATCTGTTAAACCATTACTAAACCGTAAATCTTATGAACTTACATATCCTAAAATACATTACATTACACGATACAGTGAATTCTCAAACAACGATCTAATAATTCTTAGAAGTAGTTAATAAATAATCGAGCTAGGAAACTTTGGGGGTAACAAAGGAAAATGTAATTTTTCTAAAAAGAATGTGCATAAAATAAATAACTATAAGGTATTTCTCCCGCCTTCTTAGCATGTCCTTGTGGTGTAATTGTCAGCACACTCGGCACGTATCGAGAGGTCCGAGGTTCGAGTAGCGGTGAGGGCACTGCTCATTTTTCACGTCTCTCAGCAGCAACAATCTTAATGTTTCTGTAGTGGCGCCCGAACTAAAAAAAGGTGGAGGAGGATGATTCTCCACCACAAGGATTTGGCGATGGATCCCATAATCCCCAGTAACCCTTTAAAAGGAGGAGCATATAAGGTATTTCTCCCGCCTTTTCAGCATGCCTTCGTGGTGTAGTGGTCAGCACACTCGGCGCGTATTTGAGAGGTCCATAGCATGAGTGCAAGGGAAGTTATTGCTCATTTTTCATGTCTCATGCTTCGAAATAAGTTAATGTCTCTATATAACGTATTAAAACATATGTCTAAATTAGCAATTTTAATAATTTTCAGAATCTCTATTATTTACAGGCTCAAATTAGTTAAAAAAGATTCAGATTTTCTTTAATAAAAGCGAAATACTTGCAAAATGATGAGAACAAACTCTATATTAAAAGCATTTATAAAAGAGCTAGGACATTTTGAGAGGGATTTAAATT